TTATATTTGTTGAACAATTTCACCTCCGTTTGATTCGCCAAGTTGCAATAATCACCCTACCTCGGTATCACGTTCATACCCTGTTTAGCGTCACAAAAGAGGCGTAATTGTCAACAAAGTTATATCCTAGCACAGTATACAACAAACTTCACTTTTAAGGTATTCGTATTGCAGCGCGGAACCTTCACTAATTGAACCACGTATATTTGGGCCTTGGTTCGGAGCTGATTCTAATTTTACTTCAAACTAGCGCTGTTCTGTCAAAACAAAAGGTCTGGAAGGGGCACAGGAGGGCGCTTATTTGTGCGTAAGAGGTGCTAGATTCACAGCTAGTAAAAGTATATTTCCCGTTAGAAAGAAAAAAGTCAAAGAAGCATCAGTTTTGATTGTGAACCTTTCTCTTTTAGCTGTGTATATACTTTCTGTCCGACTGTAAAACAGACCGCGACGTAGAAAAAAGCGAATGCTATTTAACCAGAACCGAAGATATACTTCGGTTTTGTCATGTAAAATCCTTAACCATCAGATTTAGGAATACGCTTATCTGATGTTTAGTATCACAGAAATCCACGGATATTGCTTTTTGTATATTGCGGAGGAAGCAGCATAAGAGCAAGATCGAATCGGTGGAACATCCGTAGAGCCTCATGGCCTGCTCTGCGGTCTGTTAGCAGAATGTAAACTACACTTATCTTGCTATGTAAACACCGCATAAGAATATATAATATTTGTCGTCCTATGTCGTTAAGGAAAAGATCGGTCTACTATGTAATGTGAAAGTTAAATTACTATAGACTGACAAAAAAAATCATTCGTTATTCATTTACGGATCCATCTCGTTGCCAGAAGTTCTTCCATTTTCTGTATAGCAATCAAGAAGTATCCATCATCCATGACGCAACATAAACGACGCAAAAAATTATGTACGTCAAAAAGGCCACAATAGGAACATTGCTAATTTTTTTTTTATTGATCAGGACACATCTTAGGATTCGCCTTACAGTTAAGACATAAACCTATCTTGTTTTTAGAAAAAAACAAAGTGTCACACGTTCAGCAAAACGGCTGTAGGCCTTTGATTTGTAGTCATGTTAAACGAAGTCCACTGCACTGATACAAAGAGGCAAGGGATATGGTATGCCCTTTCCCATTGGGAAAGACACGATGCCTTGGACACTGTAATCGCAAATCTAGCCTGGCAAAATCGCCCGCGAGCAGTACCGCATCCGGTTAACTGTCCAATGTGAACGGAATTCGGTGCTCCATTCCAGCTCAGAAACGCTTGGTGGTTGAGTGAGGCTTGGATTGTGCGTGTTTCGACGGATTAGAGTAAATTATTCGGCAACAAACCCCTCGTGCCCCGCTATGTGATTGGTGTCTAGCGTAATTACCTGGTGGTGTAGGCGTACGCTTTCTTATTCAATTAGTCGCCTGCCTGACGTGGTCTAGAGAAGAAGCGCTACGGAAGTGAGTGAACCGAAATGGTATGAAATTTGTTCACCAACTGTGGAGTCGGTAGACAATGGTACCCATTTCCTTTGCAATTCCTAGTTAAAATGCCCAAATGAAGGCGACAGTTTTTTTAAAGAACATGAAATTACAGTAGTATGTGCTTACCGATCTGTTTCGGCCTATGGATCTTGCCTGCGACAACAGAACTAAAGATCGATTTCGCGTGTGTAAAATTCCGGATGTTTTTTCATTAATAGCCGATGGTGGAGAAGTTAAGTGAAAAACAAACTAGTGGACAAGTTCCCATTGCGGTGTTATTTAGGAGATTAACAAACGACGCAACAATAATCGCTGCCGAAGTTACGATATCGATTAAACTAACAACGAAAACAAGTAGATCTTAGGATGATGCCGTCAGCCTCAACAACGATAGACGAAGGCCTCAAAAGTGCACAGACCAGTTCAACTAGTCGAATCATCGCACTTACATCAAACTGGTATGCCAGCAAAACACATTCATTATGATACACACTAATTCTGCGTATAAATTATGGCTGCTGTTGAAATATTTAAGCCGAAAAATCGCTAGTTAGCTCACCATAGATGTACTAACTGCGTCTTTTTTTTTTTGTTTTTTTCGCAAACTAACATTTGTGCTTTCAGCAATTTCTCAATTAACCTATATATTTGAAGCTTCAAATATCGTATTAAATTACTAAATTTATTCGGGATACTAGGAACAACTGCTAGTAATCACCTATTGTGCCTTACAAACAACAAAGTGTCGTCGAGTTATCCTTAGATAGTTATTATGACTTTAAATAGTTCCTGTAAGGCTAGTAGTGTTGAGAAAAAATACATGTGACAGTTGCGTCGTTACGAGGCTGAGTCCGAATCTGAATAAGCACTTCGCAACTTCGTCGAAGTGACCCGAAAAACTCGAAAGACTGAAGGTACGAGACCCCCCCCCCCCAGACCCATACTCGACCAAAGTGTAAAGGTAGCAAACTTTTAGCTAAAAGAAAACCTACGAACAGCTAGCAACGTGAACTTGTGCGGTTTCGATTCAGTTTAATTTAGAGACAGATAGTTATTTATTTTGATTACACTTGTCGTGTAACGTGTGCGTTTGGCGGGGCTGGAAGCAGCGACCCCTAGTGTTTTCGAAATTAGAATTCGTCCAATACTGTGTAACTAGCAATAGCAATTGAAAAAAGTCAGCTTAATAGTTCCGAGTGTTTATTTAACAGTTCATCAATTGTAGATTAGAGACACAAATGGTTACGAATCAAATATCTGGAATATATTTACAAACCAGAGCTCTAGTAAAGGTTAGAACCTAACCGCGCAGTTAACTGTGCGTAGTCCGTCATAACTCGAGTACATAGGAAAGCGTATAGATTCAGTTAAACTACTAACTTTAGGAAATTGGTTTTGCTTGCGTAATGTATGTTTTTGTTCTGTCGTTAGTATTCAAGAAATACTGAAACTTCTACTCATTTGCAAAATATACAGTGCCAAGGATCACATAGTAAAAGGAGTTACTAGGAAAATATGCGCGTAAAATATCGGTAGACTTTGTGATTCAACACAATGCTATCCAGCTATTAAACAATATATGTACCCTACCCATTCTTGGTTTGAAGCTGACGTTTATAGACACGTAAAGATTCTAGATCATGCTATTCTACAACAAACTAAAAAGGCTTAACGGAATTACGAAAGTCAACGTTCGCATTTATTATAAGGTAGCTATCGTCTACAACAGCGGACAGTTAATGGATGAGAAAGAACAGCTAGTTGTCGTACTATTTTGTCCAGGATTAATCAATGTTAATGTAATGTGCTTGTCCGTAGGCAAAGACGCATATGGTGTTCTAGGTTCGAAACCGGGCGTAGGCACGCTCTGTGCGTGCTAAGACAATAGCCGCCTAAAGGTATGCTAAATGACAGTAGAACTGGATATAAAATGGGAAATATTCATTCAGTTAATTTGTTTCTGTCGTTTGCTATTCTGCGATGCCGCGCTTCTTTCTTCAACTTCAGCTGAGAAGAACCTATTTCCGGATATGCATAAAATATGGTACAATACCTGAAACGCAGTGTAGGTGAGCCGGTTAATGCTTGGGAAATAGACGATCACATGGATTGCATATTGCTGAGCATTATAATATATGAATGGTCTACATAAATGTATTTAACGACAGTAAGGCTTGTCGTGTGTGCATATTGCTCGTAAATTGCTTCGGGTGTTCGAGAAACTACTTAACATTTTTTCAAATGTCTGAAGTGCCTTGAAACTAAAATTCTGGAGCTTTTTTGTTCAGCACGACTGAAACCGCGAGGTGCGGTTGCTCGCAACCTCAGTGTGTATCTCTTCATCTTATTCCTGCCGCATTTTATGCGAATCTTCAGAAAATCGTTTTACGTGGATTTTAGAATGGGACTAAGTAAAAAGTTGTTCGGGACACCGTTTTTACCACCGCCTCAGCTATCACAGTAACGCTACATTGTTAGCAAAAAATGTGAATTTGCTATTTAAAAACAAGATTTCGTTAGCTGAGAACACGGACTGTGGCGAGTGTGATTGAAAAATTAAGCTGGATATGAGCAGCAGCTAGGCCTTTTTGTGCAGGGCAATTCGAAATCGCACATATCGGTGTAGGAACGTCCGAAGCTTTTCGCAAAGCCCACAAGCTCTATAGAGTAAAACAATTCTTTACGTGTCTTCGCAGCAAGCTACAATATTTCTTTATTTGCAACATACGAAAACATACTATAATACCGTCTCTGAAACCTTTCATCGAAGAAGCAGTGCGTTCAAACAAAATTTGACGATGCTTCTGGGGCCTGCCGGAGCGATCACTTTGACCAGGCCGCATTCAGCGTACTGCTAGGATTTGTTACCGGCTTCGATGAGAACTAGAGCGTTCTCAGACACCAACATAAATCTATCGTAGATTTATATCTAAACACGCGTGTCTTCTGTCAGAGAATATGAACGACTGCCTTTTACCAATTGCCAGTAACGAAAGTTATCACACTCCAAACTTATTCCCAGAGTGGTAAAATTTAATGTTCAAGATTTTATTATTATTATTAAGAATTATATATATATATATATATATATATATATATATATAATTCTTAATAATAATTGATAATAATAATAATAATAATAATATATTGATGATAGCATGTCTTACCCGAGACACAATTGAAACTTGCCCAAAGTTTAAGCAGAACATTTTCAAAGTGCGGAATCAGCGACTGAAGTCTACAGATGCAGTATGTTTATCTCTTACAAGAACATAAGCTATGTACGCGTTGCACTATCATCTATTATTAACGACACACCGCAATGCATGTCCAAAAGGAGAAACTAGTGGTACTAGTGAAAACGTTCATAACGTACATAGTCCTCTCTTGCGCCACCCGTACGTTCGCTTAAACCCCTCGAGCATACATGACAAAGGAGAAGAGCATGTGTCGCCGTTGTAGGTTAAATAGTCTGTTAGTCACGGAATCAAACCGATGCATATGTATTTTATGGTGCTCACTTCATCCCCAACAGCAGCAGCAGCCGCCACTCGCTCGTGCAGTGATCATCCAGACACGCTGCTTCTCAGTGTCTCGACATTGCGTGAACTTTTACAGCCATGAGGACGACGCATGCGTCTTCCCTCCCTTGTTAGCTATTTACGTCAATCAATCATCATCAAGACAGCTACATTAGACCTCTGATTGCCGCAAATTTTGACAAGCCAGGTGGCATGACACTGCGGTGGATGATCGCTCCGTTGGCAACGACGCTGACCGCGTATTGCTTGTTAATATTGCTGGTATAACTGCTGTTAACGGTGTTCTTATGATGCCGTTATTAGTTGAAGGCAGGACGCTTCGGAGCCCCGCGTTAGATGTCGAGTGGAAATTTGTAAAGTACACTGTCACCGCTAAGAGCAGACGACGCATCCGATGAGTGACATGAAGATGGCCAGGACCAGTACAACTATAGCGATTTGACCTGCCTGCACCGGACCCTAGTACTTTAGATGTGCCTGGACCACTAACAAGAGATACTTGAAGAAATGAACCTAGCACAGCGTAATACAAATATGATAATAACCAAATTATTTGGCTACCTACGGGCAGGGCAGTGAGCGCGTTGATTAAGATGGACGGATTGTTATTGTTTTTCGTTACTATCTTTAAAATTTGCCGTTTACTATTTTCAGCGTTATTTTAGACCCGGTAAATATTGCCAGTGAAGAATAAACGCTGATGACGAGAAAGCCGTTCCGAGAAACGATGTAATAATGGAACTGTAATATGCAGTGGTCTACAACGAAAGCAGAAATACTAAAATGTTGTTAATTTTATAGATAACTTGGAAGTAACGTTTGGTCTTAGAAGCTGTGTGACCGCGAACTTTTGATCGTATTTATTCGCTTGCCTATTCGAAGTTCTGTTATACTACAAATTTTGTCTTCCTAATAAATGTTGCCTGTTGGTTGTTTGGCGTCATCAGCTGCAATTTCCAACGATGAATTGGCGATGATATAGATTTTGAAATGGTTGCTAGCGCTATAAACACCGTGACTCTTTGACCTTCTGTTACACAGACACGCGCACGTGAATGTCAAACGAACCCACATTTAGATGCTCACAACGTCCAATATCCGGTGGATAGTAATAGTGGGCTCGACATCACAATTGACATGTTGCAATTGTAATTGGAACAGCTTTTCGAAATCCAGCAACACCCATTGCCGCTGTGCCGAGATGTCACCGGCAAAGTGAACAAATGCAAATACGCGTTCCAATATGTTTATCTGCTCACCGTTTACAGCGCGGCCCGTCGCCGTCATCGTCGGAGGGACAGCAGGCGAACTGATGGGTAAATTGCGGCACCAAAAAAGTCTACAGCGTTGTTTTTTACGTTACTAACAGTTCTCGCTGTTGATGTTACATGAAACAGATAGGGACTGTTGGGTTATGATTGTCATTACTGCATTAACATGTGCATAACGCTAATCTTCCGATCCGATTAATGAATACGTTAGGTTAGGTTAGGTGTGCAGTTAATAGAATGTAGGGGGTGGAGGCCAAAATATCCTTGTGTTATATCTAACCGGGTTACGAGAATAGTGTGGGAGACTTGTTAATTCATGCAGAAAACGTACACGTGTTCACTTTGAATAGTTTCTACGGCAGCGGCAATCCTTTAGTGTCCAAGCTGTCATTTGTTATCGCGACTTATCGACAGGATGATCATTGTAAAGTAAATGCTGGACTCTTAGATGAAAAAGGACCAGTCTTCCGAACGCAATACGAGGAGCTTAATTACCAGTCGAGAATTGTCAGCTGCGTATTGTTGGCTTTAGAAAGCCGACTTGTTAGAGATAACGAAATGGGACACACTTGATAACACTTGAGCAGATACATGACAAGCGTATAGCCTTTTTGGTTTACACCAATAAATCAGGCAAGGTGATTT